AGCTGTTTTTTATAAATAATAATTGGAACTATTTTTTAAAAGCCACTAACAAACCTAATAATATACACCTAGCTAATAATAAACAGATCTAACATTGATTTTCTATACATTATTACAAATACCAAACATATTTCTACAAATCGTTTACAGTAACCCCATTTTATCTAATATGAGGATGGATGAGAAGGATTTTTCAAAGAAGATAAAAATTGGGGGAAAATACTGTGCATTTTCCCATAAAATTCTCTCAAAAGAGATTAACATTATTCTTTCTAAATCATATTTTAATACAAATTAAATTTATAAAAATTAACATTAAAGGATGATTTAACAAATAATACCTTTCATCAACATATGCAAGATATACCTGAATTTGTTTCTGTATTTCTTCTGGGACTTTAGTCTGGGTCAGCTTGGTTTTGTAGGCACATTTATAACTCTTGAGCAATTGCCTGTGATTTTTTATGTTACTCCATGACCACATATGTGTACACCTTCTTATATGAACTTCAAGAATAGAATCAATTGCATATTTCCACCTGCAAATCAAAAATTTTTAATGTACATCTGAATATAGAGGTTTAAGAAAAAGCAGGAAAATAGCTTTGACTTTAGACCTAACCTGTTATACTTTTTGTTATTAACTCTTTTCTTGTAAGAGCTCAATAATAAGAGTTCAATTTCCCAGTATAATTTTCTGACTTAAATAGATTATGAAATGAACAAAGCACTCCAGGAAGAGGGTTTATCAAAGCAAAATCACAAAGACACAAAATGATTTGCTGTGCAAAATTAATAGCATCCAATATGGTTAAAACATTGAGTCCATGTGGATGACTAAAGTGCAATAAGACCAAAAAATGTTGAAAGTCTTGAATACTAAATTAAGAATTTGGAAATAATCTGGGAGTAGAAGTACAACAGAATGTATTTATGAAAAAAAGTAACAAGGACATAATATAAAAGATAACACTCTATGTCTATATAAAAGAAAAAAAGTAGCTTCATTATGTGGCTTTAAACATGTCTTAACTCTGAGAATCCCTAACTATATGACTGTATGTTTCTTATTTTTTTAAAAATAATTCTAACTTACCATTGTCGACCATTGGTATGAAGAGGTACATAAGGTTTATATTTCCTGTAAGGGGCATTTCTAACCATGTAATCCACTGACTCCAAAAGGTCAATCATACTTAAGTACTATTAAGACAAAAACAAACTTATATTGATTAGATTGCACACACGAGTAAACACTAAATAAAATAAAGCTACTTAATCGCCCATCTGACCACCAATATAACAATTCTGTGTGTCTGGTAAATAGCTCAAATAGAGGAAAACACACACACACACGTAAGGACTGTAGGTAAGATAAAGGAAAGGGCAAGTTAGCTTCTTCCTCTTTATTTTTCGTAATACATATCTACCTAAGGGTTACATATGGCTATTCAGCACTTAAAAGGTGGATAATCTGAACATAAATGTATTCTAAGTGTAAAATATACCACAGATTTCAAAGGCTTAAGGAAAAAAAGGATGTATAATACCTTAATTTTTAAAATTGAATGCATGTTAAAATGATAATATTTTAGACAGGTTAAATAAAATGTTATAATTTTAATTAATGTCATCTTTTCTTTTTACTTTGCTAATGTAGCTACTAGAAAATTTAAAGTTACATATATAACTTGCATTATATTTTTATTAGACTACACTGGACTAAAAGCTCAATTAGTTAAATCCCTGCCCTTTTTTCACTTTCATTTCTCCAGGTCTGTTATCCAAACTCCCTGGGCATATAACCAAACTTGAGAAACAAATTTTTAAAAAGCCACCAAAATAACTGTTCTAAAAAATAAGTAATGTTGAATATAAGAGTGCCTGCTATTAAAATCTGAGGAAGAAAAACACATTAAAATCTCCATCAACAATTGGGAATTAAATGTAAATAATGTAATTCACTATAATTTGGTAAGACTCTCCACTAATAAGGAAAATATCAGATAAAATAAATTTCTTAAATTTGATACTTTCCAAAAAATATGTATAATATATCTATTTTTAGGAGTCAAATATTAACATAAGAAACCAAAAGAACCATCAGAACATTGGAGAAGGAATAATCACAAAGGACAAAAGCAGTCGAAATTCAAGGCTCATCAAAGTTAGAAACATCCAACTGAATGATACCTGAGGTTTGGTCAGTTCGATGGCAATATTTTGTACTTCTATGTTCCCATCAAGTTTGGGTGTTTTGAGCTCTGTTTCTGCATAAGGATTCATGTAGAGTTTTGCAGAGGCTGATATTGGCTGGAAAACTGAGAACACATGAGAAGAAGTAAGATAACCTCTATATGCTCTTACATATGAATGACCACAAATAATTTTAAGAACACTGTTACGCTGAAAGTAAAGAAAAATTATAAAAAATATGTAAAAGAGAGAACTACCAAAAAATATTTAGGTATCTATTTATCTGCATAATATCAACAGTCAAACTCAAGGGTTAAAGTGGAATCCCCAAAAAGAAAATTGGGGTCCTATGCTTCTAAATAAGAAATGTGCAAAATACAGACAATCTACGCTTGGGAATTCACACTCTGT